GTCATGGGATTGGTTTGGCTAGAAAGGCAGTCAAAGCCAGAAAAGTCGGATGACATGTCGACGTGATGAATGGTTAAAGTTGGATGGCTGGTGGTGTGCAGATCTTCCAAGATAAGTCAGAGGACTTTGGCTTCGTTGATCGGACTTGGGGGGTCAAGTGGGATGCTATAAAATTGGTCCATCATATTCAGATGTCATCCTCCTTCCTCGTAACACCTCTCGCATCTCTTTAGCTTGTAAAGGGTCTTAACACTATTTTTCTTTACTAAAAGCCAAACACCTTACGCCATTATGATCGTAGTTGCAATGAATACAAATCTATGAGAAACTAAACATTGGATCAATGGAAGGAAACCAACTCAAATCAAAGGAGGCATTAAGCTTATGTCTCTCCTACTCTTAGTTCTCAATGTATTTAAGTATTGGAACAAAAGCAATTTTAGTTTTTTTTCCTTAAACAAGCCAAACAAAGCTTATCGAATTGAAAATAAGGATTCAAAGCCATAATTTCTAGCTGGGTTCTTGGATTGGTATTAGCGACATGATGGCATCACATGATCTAACTCCGTTGGTATTGTGTTGTTCCTATCAACCACTAACGTAAGTTTTTAGCAACAAAGTGGATTGAACATATGGTAATCAAGTTCAATATGATTATATAAGTAGATGAGTGATGGTACTTAGGTATTCATATCTGGATACGTATCATAATATCTCAGTTTAATCTCACATCAAAATTAGTCAAACACTTGAATAGCTTTATGTGTCTAAGGTTTTTTGTGCTAGTAACTCAAGAACAATAAGTTAATGGATCAACTATTCTATTAAGTCAAGTCGGAGTTGAGAAATAGTATCGAGCCAACATAGCATTGGATTTGATGATGGTATGCCGTATAGTACCCTCTCTTTTAAAGATATCAAAGATATTCTTAGACATATTTCTAATAACTAGAGACATTACAGTTCTAACTTTCTTCCGAGTTATAATGTCCAAACACATTAACACTTCAAGGACTCCAATTTCACCACAAAAATTGGAAGATTATTAAAAACTACAAAAATTATCAATTAAAATTATATATATATATATATATATATATATATATATACGTCTTCATTTATTCACATATCTATATATACACATATCCAATTATTCGTTTTGAGTTACTAGAATGTCTTATCCTTTTATATACGAGAGAAGAAGATCTAAAATAAATAATTATGATAGTCCCTCATAGCAAAGTTAGATTTAAATAAATTTTATCATAATTAATTTTTTTTCTGATAATCATAATTAAAATTTAATTATATCTATAAGATATCTTACTTAATTCGATAGAGTGACGTAATCTAATAATAATGTCCAAACACTTTAACCAAATTAATCATGAAAGACTATAAAAGCAACAAAAAATTGTGTAACAGAAACTGCCATATAAAATAACAGTACGATGGTAGATAAAGTATTTGAAGAAATTAAAACGAATGCATAGAAGATGGTTTTCATGAAGCCAAAGGCCACCAGTGACGATACTTCTTCCTTCTTTATTCTGACGGCATTGCATGATGATTACATAGAGCATTACCTGAAAGCAGCTTGTGACATCAAGATGCAATAAGAAGCTCTTTCAACATACTTCTTTCTTCTTTATTATAATGTCATAAAGACAGCGGTAGGGATGACTGACTTGAACATCTTTATTAGAACGACGATAGATGCAAGCTTTTGAACTGATTAGAATAAATACGTACATGATAGTACTCATGAAGTGCTGAAACCTCCTCTGTTTTCTTCACATGCAGTGTCTGTTCCTGTTGATGTTTCTCTGTGGGTTTATGATAAATTCCACTCTCTGGCGGAGGACCCATCTCGTTCAATCCTTCTCCGTCGTCTTCCGTCACTGGTTTTATGTGTTTTCATGAGCTTGTTCTGAGATCTGAGCACTTGGACTCTGTCCATCTTTACATATATACGGTCTCCTCCTTTTCTTATTAGTGCCAATTCTGCTATACACTTTTACTATTTATCTATATCTCCACCCAAAATCTGGCATTAAAATCTAAAAGACTGCTAAAAAAGATTTAATCTTTCACCGTAAAAGAAGAAAGCTTCCATGGCTTCTACTAGTGGCACTTCTTCAGGGTCCAGCCTGCTGCAGAACTCAGCCTCCGAGAAGGATCTACTGTTGTAATATACTTATTATAATAGATCAAAAGCCTATGTTCTTGACAAGTGCTCTCTCTCTGCACACACATTATTTGGATGATCAAGAATTACATTAGAATATCTGGTTTGATTCATCAAACTAAGGCAGCTTGTCAATGTTTTGTTTGGGGGATTGAAAAGATGTGAGATCTGAACAGCAACATGTAGGGCTATAAGAAAAGAATTTGAATGGTTAGGTGGTTTGAACCATAACATATAGCACAAAGAGAGAATAGACATCTTAATCATTGAATTCCAAGAAAGTTACATTGCATTCCCACCATGCATATATTACTTGCTTAATCATTGTAGCTGATGTCTGCCTTTTCCCTGTTTTCTCTTTGGATTTTGCTGGCTGGCCACTCTGATAATTGCTCAATGAGAAAAGAAATTGAACATGGTGAGGTGGTGTGGTTTCTTTTGAAGTTGTTGATGTTGCAGACAAGTTTCTCAGCTGAAATCTGCTGAAGTAAGCCATTATGTAAGCAGACTGCACACACCTCAATGGAATTCAGTAGTGTATTCACACTTCTGTTCAGATGGATGCTGGAGAACTAAATGCTTCTGCTGGACTACATTCAATTTCTTGATGTTTGTGCGCTCTAATCTTTGACACTGATGTGTTGAACAATTTATGACAACTTCTTGTTTCTCAATCTCTCGACAACGTTGATTGTTTCTGGACAAGAAACAAATAATTGATGCTGCAAATTAAGTTTCACTGCCTTCAGAAACAGTAGCAATAGGAAGGGTGGCAGCCTGGACAAATTCAACTGGTAACATATCAATTTGATTTCCAGGGAGAAGTAGAAAATCCAAATGGCAGATGGATTCAAGATATGAGACTGGAAGGTAGATGATTTCTTTCTTAATCTACGGAATTAGCTAATTACCCTCATAATCTATAATCATGAAGCATAGAAATGACAGTAGAAACATAAACAAGGAAGGCATTGATTTTGTGCTAAGAATATATTTATCAGTGGTTGAGTTTAGGTGTTGCTTCAAATATGATAAAATATTAATAGACTGACCATATAAAAGTGCTTTGAATGATGAAATCACTTGTCATGATCTCTATATTAAGATCTAAATGCATGTTCAGAAATATTTGCAGAATTCTTTTTTTCAGGTTGATGGCAATGGGAAGGACAGCCATTTATGAATGTAGTTTTAGGCAAAGCTATAGAAGTGATACCTTTATCATGATCACTGTGGCTGAGAGAATCAATCCATCATAAACTTCCTTCAGTGAGCAGCATCACTTGTTGGTGATTCATCTCCAATTTCCATAGCTTCAAAATGACCATAGATGGACAAGCCCCAGTATGCTAAACAAATACATGAAACATAAATAGAACAGCATAGACAGTTGGAGTTGTTTTTGCTGATAGCATTACATCATAATACATATGGGCGACTTAGTGGAAAGGACCGTATGATCTCAAGCTGTAATAGTAAACGTGCCACCCAAGTTTCCTGCGACAGTTCATGTGGTTCTTCTCGACTTGGACTTCAGCCTTGCAAACCTTACTGCCAACTGCACGAAGACCCAATCACCAGCCTTGTCTGTCAAACGGAAGAGAGCAACCCTTATAGACTGTTTGATGATCATTATGCCAAAACAACTCCAAAACCCCACCACGAATCCCATGACGATGCTTGTAATTTCTAATACACCTTCAAGCTCGCCATCACTGTCTTCTTCTCCTTCTTCAATTGCTGCAGGAGGTAGGCTTCGATAAGCAACATCTCCAGGGCACACAGGCAGTGGCGTACCACAAAGGTCTTTGTTGCCAACATAGATTGAGGGGTCATTTAACGTGGACCATTGATTGCTTGTTGCAATGCTTCCTGACAAGTTGTTGTAAGATGAGACTCGAGTAGCTCAGGAAGGTGAGAGTACAAAAGCTAGAAGGAATATTTCCTGTCGAATGATTGTCGGACGAGCTAAGATATTGTATACCTGTAGACATATCCGAGAACCAAGCTGGAACTTTGCCCGTCAGTCCAACTCCAGATAGTTGAAGGCTTCTCAAATTAGTTTGGCTTCGAATCCAAGTAGGAAATCTAGTTCCTATATGACAGAAACTCATGTCAATAAATGAAGCATCAAAAGGGGGAAGCCAATTTGAAGGAGCTGTAGAGATATGTCCAAAAATTCCAAGTTGAAGGAGCTGGGAAAAGTGTGCTTCAGTGATGTCGCCTTCTAGTGAGTTTGAGGAGAGGTCCAACCTGTACATTCCAGAAAATCGACCCAAATTAGATGGAATAATGCCATTAAATTTGTTGCCCTCAATACTTAAGTATGACAAGGCTGCTCCTCCACTACAACTCGACAAACCTAAAGACCTCGGCATCTGCCCTGATAAGTGGTTGATCTGATATATCCAAGAACTGCAAGAGGTCGAGTTTGCCAATTGTTTCTGGTAGTTGCCCGGTAACAGAGTTCCGAGACAGATGTAAAACCTGCAAACTTTGAAGATTGCCAATGTGTGCAAGGCTGCTAGCATTAGTGAGCCATCTTAGAACACTTGCATTACTTGAGTTCTAATAACCGGAGATATCGAGCATGACAATGGATGTCAACAGAAGACTACTAAAAGCTACAAAAATTGCCAACAGAAGCTGCCATATAAAATAACACAAAGAAAAGCATGTGTCGACATCCAATTAACGAGGCAATGTATCGAAAGGAAAAAGATAACAGAACGACGGTAGATAAAAAGTATTTGAAGAGATTAGAAGGAATGCATTACTTGATACTTGTTCCTTCTTTATTCTGACAGCATTGCGTGATGATTACAGACAGCATTACTTGAAAGCAGCTTGCGACCTCAAGATGTAACAATAAGCTCTTCAGCATACTTCTTTCTGCTTGATTATAATGTCATAAAGACAACGGTAGGGATGACTGACTTGAACATATTGATTAGAACGACGGATGATTAAGTTTTTGAACTGATTAGAACAAATACATACATACTGATGAAGCAAAAGGCCATCAACTGCGATACCCTTTTCCTTCTTTATTCTGAAAACATTACACGATAACATACGAGATGGAATTACTAACTGGAAAAGCAACTTGAGACCTCCTTAAGATGTAACAGTAAACTCTTCAGTTCTTGCCACCGATGGATCAAGTCACACTTTGCCGTTTGGACTTTAACCTTGCACATCCGACTGCCAACTGCACGTAGCACCAATCGTAAGCCTTGTCGAAAAATCGAAAGAACGCAATCCTTATGCTCTGTTTCATGATCATTGTTCCAACAAAACTCCAAAAACCAACCACAAAACCCATGACGATGCTGGTAATTTCCCACACTGTTTCAAGCCTGTCACCGTTTTTCTCTTCCTGTTCATGAGGTGGACTTTGATGAGCTGCATCACCAGGGCACTCTGGCAGTGGCGTACCACAAAGGTATTCATTACCATCGTAGATTGACGGGTCGTCAATGAAGGTCGACATTTGACCACCGGCTGTTGGAATTCTTCCTGACAAGTTATTGTGAGAGAGATTCAAGTGGCTTAGGAAGTTGAGAGATGAAAAGCTGGAAGGAATATCTCCTGTGAGATTATTCATCGATAAGTCAAGTGATTCCAGTTGTTCCATGGAACCAATCTTTTCTGGAATGGTTCCTCTCAAATGATTCTTGGATAAGTTCAAGAAATGCAATCCATGAAGTTTCGTAAGCTCTCTTGGGATCTCGCCGGAAAGATTATTGTTTGATAGGTCTATGCTTGTTACAAGTGAGAGAATTGTGGTGTATTGGATGTCATATCCTTTTGCTGTTATTACTATGCTCTCGCCATAATAACCACCATCAACAAGATGAAGCAACGATGTAGTATCATGTTGTATCTCAACCATAGCATTAAAATTTCCAAGAGATGAAGGTATGCTACCAGAAAGATTGTTGGAAGAAAGATCCAAAACTTGGAGAGAAGTAAGATTTGCTATGTGCACTGGAATGGTACCATAAAATAGGTTTGACTTCAAACTAAGAACTCTCAAGGACAAAAGATTTTCTCCCATCCATATTGGTATTTCATCAAACAAATTATTTTCGCCAAGATCGAGAGTAACCAATTGTTCACAATGTTTCAGGAAGGAAGGAAATCTTCCAGACAAGTTGTTGTGGTTCAGATGCAAAGATTGTAAAGAAGTTGGGAATGATTTATGACACTTTGAGACTGTCCCAGATAAATTATTGTTTGATAGGTCGAGGACTCGGAGAGAATTAAGATTACAGAAAAAGGAAAAAAAACTACCATTGATATTGTTATGAGATAAAGACAAAATTTGAAGGTACGGGCCATTTGCAAAACTCAACGGAATGGGTCCAACAAATGAGTTATTGGAGAGATCGATTACTTCCCCGGGAGGAGCAGTGGGTAGTGGGCCATTCAAGTTATTGGAACTCAAGTTAAGATACCATAAACTTGTTGAGATATCTGAAAACCAAGTTGGAAGGTTACCGGAGAGTCCAACTTCAGATAAAGAAAGATATTTCAAATTTGTTTGTGTTTGAATCCAAACTGGAAATCTAGTTCCCAAATGACATGAGCTCATGATAATAAGGTTGGCATTAAAAGGTGGAAACCAATCATCGGGTAGGATCACATTCAAGGAGTTATAAGATATGTCCAAGTGTTCCAAGTTGGTGAGTTTGGAAAAGTGTGCTTCAGTGATATTACCTTCCAACAAGTTTGAGGAGAGGTCCAATACTTGTAATGCAGATAATTGACCCATACTTGAAGGGACAATCCCACTCAAATTGTTGCCACTAATAGATAAATATAGAGTGGCTCTTTGTTCACAATGTAGTAAACTATCAATTAGATAGCTTAACTCTCCACCAATATGGTTATGTGATAAATCTATAAAACTCAAATTGCAGAGCCCATTCAAAGTCTCAGCTACTAACCTTGTTAAGTGGTTACGTGATACATCCAAGAATTGCAAGTTGTAGAGTCTGTTGAAGGTCTCTGGTATCTGCCCAATAATAAAATTATCATATAAATATAGAGATCGTATATTTTGGAGATTCTCAATAGTTTCTGGTATTTGTCCTGAAATCTTATTTTGCGACAAATCCAAGCTCTCCAAGTTGATGAGATCACCAAAATTCATTGGTATACCTCCAATAATGTTGTTGTATGAAAGATCCAAGTATTCTAAATTGATGAGATTCCCAATAGTTTTTGGTATTTGTCCTGAAATATAATTTTTCTGTAATAATAACCTCTCCAAGTTGATGAGATTACCAAAAGTCATTGGTATACCTCCAGTAATGTTATTGAATGAGAGATCCAAGTATTTCAAATTTGTGAGATTCTCAATAGTTTCTGGTATTTGTCCTGAAATCTTATTTCCTAACAAGATCAATTTCTCCAATTTAATAAGATCACCAAAAGCTATTGGTATACCTCTAGTAATGTTATTGCTTGAGAGATCCAAGTATTTCAAATTAGTGAGATTCCCAATGGTTTCTGGTATTTGTCCTGAAATATTATTATTCAACAATGACAAGCTCTCCAACTTGCCGAGATTACCAAAAGTCATTGGTATATCACCAGCAATATTATTGAATGAGAGATCTAAGTATTCCAAATTGCTGAGATTCCCAATAGTTTCTGGTATTTGTCTTGAAAACTTATTTTTCTGCAATCTCAAGTTCTCCAAGTTGATGAGATCATCAAAAACCGTTGATATACCTCCAATAATGTTGTTGTTTGAGAGATCTAAGTATTTCAAATTGGTGAGATTCCCAATAGTTTCTGGTATTTGTCCCGAAATATTATTTCCCGACAATCTCAAGCTCTCCAAGTTGATTAGTTCACCAAAAACTGTTGGTATACCTCCAATAATGTTATTGTCTGAGAGATCCAAGTATACTAAATTAGTGAGATTCTCTATCATTTGTGGAATTTCTCCGGTAATGTGATTGGATCTCAAACTTAAATATCGCAAGCTGCTTGGGAAATTTTTCACTATTTCTGAAATATGTCCAGTGAGCTCGTTAAAATCCAATGCAAGGTATTCCAGAGGTCCAAGACTCCATAGGATTTGTGCAATATCTCCACTTAATGAATTCCAACTTAAATCCAAATGCTTGAAGCTCCTGCTCACATTCATTTTAATTCTAAAAATTTCTCCTGTGATATCATTGTATTGTAAATCCAATTCTTTCAAATTACTCAGAGCTCCCAGAGTGACTTGTAGTGACTCAATATCGACAAGACTGCAGTGAGAAAGATCAAGATATACAAGGCTGCTCGCATGAGAGAGCCATCTTAGAATTGTTGTATTCAAGTTGGAATAACCAGAGAGATCCAGCTTGATGATTGAAGTCAGATTAAAAGGGGGCAAAGGAGATGGAACATACGGGAGGTTTGCCCACTTCAAGCGCAATACATTGAGACTGGGGATCCAATTAACTTGGTGAAGCCAATTAGTTGCTTTAGAGAGGTTGACAAAACTCATATCAATATATTTCAGAGAAGGAATTTGGGAGAGCCAATCAAGGTCATCAGCTCGTAGATCACTAAGTCCACATCCTCCAAGATCAAGGTAGTGTAGATTGGAGAGGTTCCCCAGTTGAGGAGGTATTAGTCCATCAAACATTGCATTGGATAGGTTAAGATATTCCAAATCCACAAGCGAAGCAATCATGTGGGGAATGTGGGAGCCAGAGAAATTATTCATGCTCAAATCCAGATATTTCAAATGCTTCAGATCACGCAAAGCAGGATTTACCTTGCTCGCACCCATCCCTTCTAACATGAAGCACATATCGTCCTCGTCATCCAAATCATATGTGTAGAAATTATGAGTGTCGAGATAGTGGAGGTCGAGCTTGATGACATGGCTGGTGGTGTTGTCGCAGGCCACTCCTCTCCAACGACAGCAATCTTCACCGATCCAAGTAGAGAATCTTTCGCCAGAGTCATACATATCGGATTTGATGTCTAGGAGAGCTCTCCTCTCGCTCTCGATGCAACTTTTGCCCTCCGCCCTAAGACGATCACCTTCGCCATGGCCGCGGCAACAGGAGATGACTCCAAAGCTCATAATCACGACCGTGAGCATGGTGACATGCTTTGAGCAAATAGATTTGCCCTTGCAGCCACCGCTAGCAGCCATTGAGTAAGCTTTCAGAGATGATGGAGTTTAAGGTGTGAGGTTGGAAGGTGGCTCCATACGTACGTTTACATTTATAGAATGACACTGAACGTCACTTGAGGACTGATCAATCTAAAGGACCGGTGTTGTTGACATGACGTTCCACAGTCCAACATTTATTGACATGATAAATGGTTTGGAATGGGCTGGCGAATATTCCTGGATGATTCTTGCAACCTTAATTCTGAGACTCTTAGTGAAGAATGTGATACACGAAATAAAAGTTTTCTTCATAAGATAATTAATAACTAGTGGTGTTGTATATAAAGGCAGTGCTTAAATTATAGTTGAACACCGATGTGATCATTACTGGTCAGTAATTGGACCGACAAGTTAATCTGACACAATGAATATTTAACACAAATATCTAAAATTATACTATATATATATATAAGTTTTAAATATGAATATTTATTTTCTGAGAGTATTACCAAAAAAGAAAAGCAACCGAGTCCAAGTCATCCAGGTCATTTAAATTAAATATTTTCTTGTTAACATTCTAAAAAGATGGAAATGAGTTATGGAATGACCACTATTAAGCACACTATCTTATAGATGTTTTTACACTCTAAATTTGGCTTAATTTAGATACATCGCAAAAATAATTATTGTGGGTTTAAGATCTTGGACTCTGAAGCATTTGTGGTATGATTATGATACAAGTCAAAGTCAAATAAATATCTATCTTTTATCTCTTGAGATGATAAATGAATTGATTTTTTTGATCCTCCATTAATTTTTTTGATCCTTTTCTTAACCTACCGTGTCAAGTGGCTAAGAAATGTACTGGTCAATGTTTCATATATGTGAGTTTTCCTATTTATAATTTCATGTTTAATTTTATTTTAACTAGACAACTTTTGTTGAATTAGAAAAAACATGTTCAATTATTTGTATATATAAAAAGGCTTCTTTTTTTTTACAAAATATAAACTAGTCAGTAGAGTCACTTTTGCTCAATTATACCATTGAAAGTGTTCCAATGTACTCACTAAGAGACATCGCCACAGGTAGCACAATCAATGTTAGATGTTAGAATAACATTCATCATGTCATGGCAATTGCGTTTTCGTACTGCACTTGACACGTTGCGTTCATAAGTCTCGTGACGTATTGAGTTATTTGATGGGTGATGGAATTGAACGACCAAGTCTAAAGTCTTGAAATTTGATTCCGTCTTTTGATCATTTCTTGATGTCTAAAGTCTTAAAATTGAACGAGAGAGATGGCTGTTTGCTTGTCTAGCATGTGCATTTTTCTCTCTCTTTCCTTCTTTTTAATTTTTTTATTTTGTCTTCTTTAATGCATGACTACTAAGTATATCCATTTCTATTTTTATTAGATATGTAAAAATAATATTTTGATAGAACGTTTCAATTCATCCATTTATCGACTTCTCATATTTCTATAATCTATTGACTGATTTTTTTTCATGTCTTGTGATATAGGCAATCCCAAAGAAATACTTAATATATAAGGGAATCGGATGATGATAGATAATAAATAAAAAATTAAAATAAAGATAAAAAATATTATTTATCAAAATATTAATTTAAGGAGGAGGACTTTGAAATATTCTTTTGACTTTACTTTGTTGAAATATATGTCTTTATTGTGAATTGATGCATGAGAGAAGAAGAGAGGAAGGTAGACAATATGGTCTTAGACTTGCTTCAAATCCTCCGATTTAAGAAAAAATTGTGGCCTTACATCACTCGTATATTTTGTAAAAAATAATACTATTATCATGATCCCATTATAATTATTGATTTTTTACATAGGTCATAAAAATGAAAAAATAAAAATAAAAAAGAAAATGAAATCGCATCAAGAAGATTCAATATGTTTCATTTGGTCATCTTTTGTTAAAATAAGCTTCCAGAATTGTATTATAAAATAATCTTCCTTCTTTATATATCATGTTCTTCCTTTTTAATAAGATAATAATTCTTTTCATCTTTTCTTTTATTTATATTTTTCTTCTTATTTATTGATAATCTTGAAAATAAGATCATGAATATTATGATATTATCATATGGCAATTCAAATATGTCAATTGAACCGAGTCTGAATTCATTATCAATCAAAATGATTTGGATCGATCTTTTTTCTTTCCACATCTATGAAATGTGGCTTGATTCCTACCATGTGGAATCGAATGATGCACGAAATAAATTAGGATGTAAGCAGGTAACTTCCCTTCTTTTTATATATATATATATATATATATATATACACAAAAAACAACTAATCAATCAATCTCAAGGAAAGATGAGGTTCCTTCCAACATTTATGGTGTGACTATGAATTGAGTCATGACATGATGAATGAGTTGAAATGATATTAGCCAATCTTCCTCTATGACTCTTGAAACATTAATTGGGATGTGAAATATCATTGTGAATATATCTCAGATTAATTATGGTAGGTATAAAGTCTTTTTTGAAGCATTTATTGTGTGGTTACGATGAAAGTCAAAGTTAAGTAGATATCTATCTTTGTCTTTTGAAATGTTTTATAATACATTTATGGTGTGGATTAGTTTAGTGAATCTTTCTCTATTGATTTATCTTCCTAAAGTATCGTGTCAAGTGGAAAAGAAATGTAGCTCTTATACATGCATCTTTTCCTATATATACTTTCATGTTCAATTAATTTTTACTTATATAAAAAGAAGCAATATGTTTAGAAAATAATTTTAGTGTCGGTCTTGCCCTTTAGCACACACAAATGAAATCATCATCAATAATAATAATAATAATAATAATAATAATAATAATAATAATAATAATAATAATAATAATAATAATAATAATCTTTTAGCATATATTTAATCATTGTTAGGTTTTTCATAGTTTTTTTTATTAATTAAAAGAAAAAAGTGATTAAGATATGAGGAAAAAAAATCAACAAATGGTTCTAATATATATGTTAGGAAGGGTCTAAACTTTTATTTGTTGAATCTTGGATTTTGATGATGAAATCAATTGATGAGTTTATGATTTAATCCATATTTTGAGAAAAGTGATGTAGGACTATCTTCGATCATGCAAAGGTAAATTGATTGAAGCAAAAAGAATCAAACGTTGGGCTGGAGTAAAACATGTCAGAAGATTGGACGTCGAGCCGGAGGATTGGTCGATGTGCTAGTAGAAGGACTTCATGCCATGAGTTCGAGCATCGGGTCAAAGGATCGAATATTGTGCCAAAAAAATCGAAAGTTGTGGAAGGTCAACATGCCGATTGAGTAATACGCCGAAGGAGAGGACAATGCGCTAAAGGATCAGACGAAGCGCCGAATGAACCAATGACATGTTGGACAAATGATGCATACTTTGTAATCATTTATCTAGATCGAAGTAGTTTAGGAAGCTAATTGAGTTACCTTTTGATGTAATCATGTTAATTCAATTAGGGGCCAATTGGGCCTAAATTGGGATTGATTTAGGCTCATTGGGAGGATCATTCAATGACCCAAAAGTTGGGTCAGGCGATGGTTTTTAAACTGGCGGTGGAACCACCTATAAGCTGGAAAAGTCAAGAACACACTTTTCCAAACTGTCAAGTAGTGGTACCACTAAATTGGGTGATGCTACTACCTAGTGTTAAACTGATAGATGGTGGTACCGCTTAATACCGGCAGTGGTATCGCTAGTACCCTAAAAACTCGAGATGAGACCGTTTTGGCTCTAAATTTGAATCCATTTGGGGCATATAAATACTCCACTCATCTTTGCTCAGTTTACATGTGAACTGGGAACAAAAACTTGAAAAAACATTGTTGTAATCCTTTGAAAGTTCCCCTCCTCTTGTTCTAAGTTTATATTTCTATTTAAGAGAAGGGTGAGTGACTTGTAAAGGTGTTTTCCTAAAATTGTGAAAGGGAGAAAGGATTATAAGAGAGTAGTTGGTTCTCACCTATTGAAAGAAGACTATTAGTGAATGCTGGTGGCCTCAACAAAAGAGAAATGAGGAGTGGAGGTAAGTCGCAACGATCGAACTACTATAAACTCAGTTTGTATTTCTGTTTTGCTTTTCAATCTCATATTATAAATTAATTTAACTATCTACTACTCTTACTTGCACTCTAAGTTTAAACACATTTTCGATATGACTTCATTGAATGAAAATTTTCAAACCATTGAAGTTTTACGAAAGTACTAATTCACCCCCCCCCCCCTCTTAATGTTGAAACAATCCTAATAGTTGGTATTAGAGCTAGGTTTTTCTCGTTTGGTTTAACACCCAAGAGAATGGCCTTTACTGGCAATATAGAGTGTCATTCTATTATTAGTCATAGGTGCCCTACAAGCCAATCATGTGAGTGATGGCATGTATGACTTAACACGTAGTCTTTTTGCTTATTATATCTTGGCATTTTGATCACTTTATATTGCTTGTTGCATATAAGCATATATATATTGTGATGTTCATGGATTTGTGCAATGAGGATTGGATCGTGATGAGATCATGATAATGAAATCGATTCGCCTTTAAATACAAACCTTAAATAATCCTAGTCATAGGTTACTCGAGAGGGATATCGAGATAATCAGACAGACTGGTGTGATGTATACCCGTCTATATGATGGAGGTAGCTGGTTTCATAGCTACTCTTGTGGGGACATTAAGGATATAGTGCAAGTGCTTATTAGAGAATGAGTTCGCTGATTGATTCGCTTACGTAATGTTGGATGGTTGATGATGTCTTATTGTCAAACAACGATTTCGTAGTCCTAGTGGTATACTTGGTCCTTAGACTTGAGATACCAAGGATGTCATATATGAGTGTTTCACTCTTTGATACCAGACTTATAGGTTTGAATGTTCTAGATCTAGCACAATCGATCGTCGGAAGTGGCAACAGGGCCATTGAGTGTCGATAGAGGATCATTCACTCTCAATGTCATGAGAGAAATATCTCATTTGTTCTTGCTCAAACAAATCCCTGGCCAGGGTCATTCGGATTGAGAGAGAAAGAGTTCCCCGGGAGAATCCGATTAGAT